TTAAAGCTCAATTTGCAACTGCTAAACGGGAGTTTGCCCCAAATGGAGGGAAACAATCGGAGAAGACCCAAACCTAAATCGACGGTGAAGTTGTCATAGAAGTTTAAACATAACACCAAAGATAAACAAAAATAGCTATTGAAATTTAATTAATTATTGTGAAAGTAAATTTTGATCTGTAAGTAATTTAGATTGGTGAGACTGGTAAGATTATTTCATATCTTTATTGCCACATAATTGAATGATCTCCGATATGCTGACACTCTGCCACGAGGGACAGTGTAAGTTAGGTGATTTCTTGTTCTTTGGGAATATGGAATTTAAATAAGCCGGTTTACCGGATTTTGTAATTTTATAAACTTATGCAGTTTCCGTCTATTACCCATGTTTAAAATATTAAAATTATTCAAAAAAGGAGATATATGGCCACGGTAAGGTATGTTATAGGCAAAACGCATACAAGAGTTTTGCAATTTTTGTATTGAACTTTTAGTTTGCAGACAGGCAAACTCCATATGCCCCATCTGCGTAATCAAACATTGAAAGAACTAAGGCGTTGCAGAGCAGGCTTTAATTTTTCAAAAAAACTTCCACAGGCAACTGTAATACTTTTTACAAAGCTTCTGGATTCCTCCTGCGTCGGTTTTTGCTGAGTCGAAATTGCAGACGTTTCGCCAATCATCCTGTTGACTTCTTCAGAGCTTGACTGAAGCTGGCTCACATTTTACTCAGCAAAAACCGACGCAGGACGAATCCACAAGCTTTGTAAAAAGCAGGCTTTTTTTTAATGTGAAAAGGATAGAGAATTGACAAAAGTCAAACCTGAATTTTTTGCTATATTTACAACTGGAACATTCTTTTTAATCTCAATGTAGATTCTTCATTTAATGTTTTCTCGCATGTCCTTGTTCTTATTGATGATGATGAAATTTTTGAGGGTTAAGTTTTAGGTTGTGATTTGTTGCAAATAAGTTCAAGTTGTTAAGATCTGCGTTATACGTTTTGATGAACTTCTGTAATGAACTGATTGGCAAATGAAGTCCAGAATCGTCGGCAAACTGTTTAAGTTTAGAATGTGTTACGCTCTGATTCATTGACACATATGGGTCTGTGTGGGGGGGCGTGGTCAAGGAAAAATTGGATGCCAGCGATCCTCGTGAGCGTCAGTCGAATCTTTGCACTCCACGCTAACGAGTAGTGTGATTAAAGTGAAAATATAAATAATTTTAAACGGTTTTTAATTATAAATAAAAAATGGTTAGAACGAGGCGATCAGGAAATACTTGTTGTGTTCCTGGCTGCTGTGTTAATGAAGACTTAACATAAAATTTTATAAATTCCCCACGCAAGGCTATAACCTCGAAAAGAGAGTAAAGTGGGTTATAAATTTGTAAAAATGATTACTCAATTTTCTGTAGTTGTGACGGAAGTTCTTGGGAACCTAGTTTAAAATCATGTATTTGCAGTCAACATTTTGTAGGAGGTAAAAAGTCGGAGAATCGTAATAGCCCTGCATATCTCCCAACAATATTTCCTGAAAAATATTACGGAAAACCAAAAATAAATAAATCAGAGCAAGTACATGCACAAACAGGTAATTTTTCTATTTATTAAACCTTGATTTATAAACGTGGGTATGTTTTGCCCCGGCCATGTAATTAACATAAAAAAAAATCACAAAATTTTTTTTCCAAGAAAAAACTATATTTTTTGCTTTACATTTGCCGTTTAGATGGTTGTAAAATTTTTCATTTGTCCTTAATGTAATATTTATTGAGAAAACCACGTACATTTCAAGAAGTTTCTCTATTGGTTTCGTAAAATTATAATCGATATATCGGATTGACAATTAGTAACGTTAACAGTAATTTTGTACATAATTTTTGGACCGAGATCAGTAGATACAAAACGGCTGGACGTAAAAGACCCACGTTTGTACAGAGGATGATATGAAAAATTAATTGAATCGTAGATATTCATTTTACTAAAAAATATAGGATTTCTCGATTACAGATTAGCGAGAGCAATGCGGAGAAGTCAAAATTCAAATGGTTCCGAAATCGACAACACTAAGCTTGTTAATATAAGAACACGTAACGATGACCTCAACGACAATAAGGATACCGATAACCTGAATGATCATATGGATATACAGCAATGTAGTGAAGTTATTATTGACTCACTGCAACCGCGGTTTAAAGATGTTGCTGTACAGATTGATTTTCATGAAGAAATGAATTCAACCTTCGTAAATAATATAATATATAACATAATAAATATGGTTCTTTTTTAATTGGACTTTTCCCGTAGCTACAGTTTCAATATAGCCGACATTAATTTTTTTCGTTTCTTTATCCCATATTGGTTTCGATTTGCATGATATTGGACATTTTATTTCGACTATTTTAGTTATCATGCCGTCACTGACTACTATTCCATCTACTGAGACTCCTAACCAGGCCTGTTTGGGAGACACAAATAATCCAATTTGAAATACGTGAACATCATGCAGTAATTTGTAATTTTCGCGAGCTTTTACCTCATTTTGAATTCCATAATTTAAACTTTTCGCATGCAGAAAATCCTGTAGTAAAGATTCAACTGAAGTGCGAGTTATTGTTTTTATCTTATGAGCTTTTGCGCTGGCCGTTATGCGTACACGTCTTGCTTCAAACCATTTTACCGTCTCGCTTTGTTGTGTGGTTTGTAAACACAATGTGAAAACTTCTTCACTGTCTAATAGTATCCGGTCTCTGTAAAACTGTGCTATCTCAGATGACAGAGCCAACTTTTCTTTTCCTATGGTGATACACTGACCAGCACTCTTTAAAAGACAAGCAATCACCTTTTTCGTACACTCTGATATTAGTTGTACCTGTCGTTCTTCGAGACATATATTCATGACCACCGTACAGATTTGTTCTTCCTCACTAATATGATCGACTTTTAACCTTTTTTTAATTGGGCATTCGATATCGTCAAAGTCTTCCAAAGTCAAGTGCAGTGGCTGAGGAGGATTTTTAAGCACTTTTTGAGGAAAAAGATCATTTACCGTAGCTCCTCGAGAATATTTTTTTTTGTTAAATGATTAATTGATGGAAATCCGCCCTCTTGCTGAACACTCGTTTTAGACACACTCCGGTCATTGTTTATTGGTGGATAAATGACGCAATATGTTTGCATTCGCCAGTTTCTTTGGCAATGCAAGTACATTGAGCATGTACCACCTCCCTTTTACTATTCAGCTAAAAAAATTAAAAAATCAAGTAAAAAAGCCACTTTTAAAGTTTGACAATTTTTTTTCTGTAATCTGTAAATTATATGGTGTTTCAGTGACGGACGTTTGCCGAATGCATTTAGCAATTAACTTATTGTTAATATTGCCACCAACGTATTCTTCAATGTGTTTAATATGACAAAAAGTCAATTTTTTTCCTTTTTCTAGCGTACCTGCAGTGAAAATTATTGAATGAAGATATTTTCAAACCCGGTCTGCAATATTACCGATGCCATATTTTCAGGTTATGCCGTCAATAAAAAAACTATTATTATTTGTTTGTTACACGATTTAATTACAGAAAAAAATTGTTAATATATAATTTTCACGTACCTTTCGTTTAAATCACTTTATACTACTTATCCATCTCAAAATTTTTTGTTAATTGTTTTATTTATAAATTAACACGTAAAGACAATGATAAAATTGGAGTGCTGTAATTCCTTTTCCGTGGGCGGCGCTACTAAGCATCATACACGGAGCGAATAAAGAAAAAAAAATTGGTCAAATTACTGACCCTTGAGGAAGACCTTGCTTAATCAACTTAAATTCGGAAGTTTGTACCAAAGAGTTCGTTGTTGTACTTTTTGTAATTACAACTCGACCGTATCTACCTGTTAGAATGTCTTTCATAAGATTTAAGGAATTACTTGAGAATCTAAAATATCTCAATTTTGCAAATAATAATAAAGTGTCAAATCCAGTATAGTTATACAAGTACCATTTCCATGTTCCTCACTATACCTGACATTATTTACTATGCCAACTAGTGTTCTTGTGGTGCTAAAATGTTTTTTAAATCCTGATTGGCAATCCGGTATAAGATATTATTCTTTAAAAACTCAGTAATTTGCTTACCTATATGTTTTTCCAATATTTTAGACACTGCCGACAGTATGCTTACAGGTCGCAAATCTTGCAGCTCTTTAGGGTCTGCGACTTTGGAAATAGTTTTAATGATTGTCTTTTTCGTCCAAAATGCAGGAATAGATGATGTTTATTAATGCGCCAGAAGAAAAAGGCAAGCAGATTGTTATATCTTGAATTGAGATTCCATCTTCTCCAACCACATTTGAAGTAATGCCTTTGATTACTTTTCACGATCAAGATAATACTTTGTCTGTTCCCATATTACTATTGTAAACATTTAATAGATCTGGGGATGTGGTAACAGGTAAATTATCAGTTTCTTGAAAAAAAATATGGATATCTGTGCACTTTTGGAGCTCTCTTATTAGCGTAAATTCGGACGACAGTTCTGAGAGCGACATTGACGTTTTCGATCTCGATCAAGAATACAAATCACTGATGTACATAAACATTAGGTAAAGTACAAATGTACAAAATTTGAACCAGTAGATGTATAGTGCCGATATAAGCAACAGAAACCGTACATAACCTCAATTTCCTAACCCCCCCCCGCAGCGGGGGCCCCCCGCGCGTGGCGTCCTAGTGTCCCCCCTGTCTACCAGAGTGCGCTCCGCCCCCCACCCAGCTTGTGTAGCGTCCTGTTTTGCCCCGGTTCCGCCCGTCGCTGCTAGATGTCGCGCGCTTGTGTAGCGTCCTGTTTTGCCCCGGTTCCGCCCGTCGCTGCTAGATGTCGCGCGCTCCGACCGTCGTAGGCCCCCCCGGTAGAGGGCGGTGACGGTGCGGCGCGGTGACGCGGTGGATCGGGAGGATAATTAAATAAACTTGAATTTTAATACATTTTATTTTATTTTATTTATAAAATTGGTCTGGCGAGGAGTTTCTTCTTCTTTTTATGTCGATTCAGTCGACCATCCCATTGTTCCTGTTCCTTGCGTTGTTCTTCTTCCCGTTCCCGGAGGAAATCTAAATACGAAGTGCACTCCTCGCCGTCCCACTCCGTCGACCACCCACCCGGGTACTCCTGCTGCTCCTTTGTTTCTTTTGATCCACCGGGTTGCTCCTGCTGCTGGTGATGTTCCCTTGTCGTTTCATGTCGTACCGGGAATTCTAACCCCCGGTACTCTTTGTGTGATTTGAATATGTGACGCCCTAAGCGATGCGCCAACATAATATGCGACTTGTCATACGGACAAACCGCGATTTTTTCTAGAACAAAACAAAGTATGATATGTAGCGTTTCCTATAAAACACACATTTTTTTTTTTTAAACAAAACTTCCAAAAAGGGGGGTTATCAAATAATTTTAAAAATTGTTTTTTAAGTTATACGCGCATACCAAAATTCACGTTTCAATTCACTGTCATTTAAATGTAAGTGTATTATTGTCAAAAGGGCAAACTGCAATTTTTTAGTACAAAAAATAAACAAAAATATGTATATATTTCGCGTTTTCCCCATAAAACGCACATTTTTGAAACAAAACTTTCAGTAATTTTAAAAATTGTTTATTTTTTAAAAGCCAAAATTCCCTATTCACTGTCATTTAAAAGATATTAAAAACGCTCAATTTAATTCGATTATTATTGTCAAAAAGGCAAACTGCAATTTTTTAGTACAAAAAATAAAACATTTTTGAAACAAATTTAAAAATTGTTTATTTTTTAAAAGCCAAAATTCCCTTTTCCATTCACTGTCATTTAAAAGCTATTAAAAACACTCAATTTAAATCGGTTATTATGCAACGTAAAAAAGATGAGTATCATATTTTAAAACAGGTAGAAACTAACCAAAAAAGTGATAACCCAAACTGAAACCCACAAGAAAAGACGCGCACTGTATAAAGGTAATTAAAATATAAAACTTACCAGTTGTAGGGTCGTAGGGAAATGGACATCGCACTTCTGTATTCATTGCACTGAATATAGTCTATAATACACATGCAACGTATTTATACACATGCACTCCCTTCCATGGTTGAATTAAAAGTCGAAAAGGTCTTCTACCCACAAGCACCAACGCCGATTTGAATAGACGCGATGTTGTCGCCAGACAACCGTGCAGGTAGGAGTCTCAAGGTCAACACGCTTTCACACGGGAACGCAACCGCTTCGGACGTTGGACGAACGTATGTTGCCGCAAAAGATCAAGGCCAACTTGCTTTCATTTTTTACAATCTCCGTATGGGATGTGGAATTTCATAACGCGCCGAGTCTAAATGTCGAGTTGTTTTGCTTGTTGAGAATAATAATTAATTGCCCCCTTTATATTTGCTCCGTGGGATTAACGTAATGGGAAAAATTTGTTGCAACGCATGTGGAGGTGTCTTCGTTTGTTAACTTTTAGAAAGTATTCTCGCACCGTATAAATACATCTCATTTTTCTCTGTTTTGTCAGTAGTTGTTTTTGGTATTATTCGTGCAACGTGGAAGCTAACTTAGTGGTTTGGTGTTCGTACAAAAAAGCAGTAAGTACCTTTTTTATTGTCTTATTTTAATTCTTTAACATTTGTTATTATTTTATAAAGGTCTTAAAGATCATCTTAGTACTCTCAACCCGTAACCGCAAATAGAATAGCAGCAATCTTAAGCGTAAGTTTTTTTTATTTTTTTTATTTTGAGATAAAATAATTAATAATAATTTATAGATGGACTTAAGTCAACTGAATCAAACCTGTCTTGCAGAAGGTGATTTTGAGCAGCCGATTGTCAAACTGCATGAATTGCCGATAGGCGTTCCGTTTAAAATTACTAGAGCCAAAATTGTTAATACAAAATTTGGCAATTCCGTGTTGCTGCAATTAGAAAATTCCGTAGTATTTCTTCCTACTCGCGTGACAGAAGCTTTCCGTCCGAGACTAGAACACTTTGCGTCGGGGCAGTACAAACTGGTCTACGAGGGATCCAAAGATATTGGAAAGCCCAACTCTTTAAAGAAATTCAAAATAATTCAAAATTAATCAACATATTATACAGGGTAAGTCTTATTTACTGTTATATATTTAATAAACCACGATGCGCGTAAAGCAGATCATTCATAGAGCGCAAATCTTAATTTTAACCTTACAAAAATTAAAAAAGCATATTTCCGACAAGTTCACTCTTAGAGATAGTGATGTGTGGCTTAGGAGACTAAGTAAAAATATTGAATCTTGCAACCAAATCGTTTCTAACGAAAAGGATTTATCTATTGGGTTAAAAAGAAAATTACAAACTACAATTCAACATCTGAAAGCTATTAGAAAAATTATTCTTAATTATCAACATAAGCATTTTGGATTGGGATTACAAAGTAGTAGCCGCGAGACAAACACAAATGAAATGGTTGTATGGGAATCGGTAGCGTCGTGTTTCCAGGGAAGAGTTCAGACTGGTGTCATAATTAATTTACTTCATAAAGATTTAATTCAATTTTTAAACGATTCTCGTCCAATATTTCAACAAAAAATTAGTCAAATTTTAAAGAAATTTTTATTGCTGAAAGTAAATACCACATTTTGCGGTGAATTTATTAAGGCAAAAAATGATGTCCAAGGCGAAGTTGATGTTAAATATCTGAGTACCGGAAATGCTGTAGTTGATTTAGGAACAGAATTGAATGATTGGTTTGTTGAAAATGTGCAAGATAAAATTTTAAATCAAATGTCAGAGTTTCAGGAACGTGATTCCGGGTGGGCTTTAAATAATATTATTTATTTAGAGATTAACATTAATAAATTTGAAATGGGTAACGGATCATCCTTCGTTGTGCGACATTGACCAAATTATGATTATCGAGCGGGCTATACGAGGTGGAATTTCGGTGTGTGTTGGTAGATATGCGGAGGCCAACAATAAATATATGCCCAACTACGATTCATCCAGGGATGATTCCTATATCATGTACTTTGACGTCAATAACCTCTATGGCAAGGCCATGTGCGAGCCTCTTCCTTACGGAGGATTCGACTGGATGTCTCATCAAGAGATTGATTCATTTACTGTCATGAACATTCCAGATGAATCTTCCCAAGGATATATCCTAGAGGTAGACCTGGAATACCCGCAGAAATTACATGACACACATAGAGATTTTCCATTTTGTGCCGAACATCGAGTGCCCCCCAATTCAAAGTTACCAAAACTAATGACTACTTTGTATAATAAAGAAAAATACGTCATACACTATCGCAATTTAAAACAGGCTCTCAAAAACGGTCTCGTACTAAAGAAAATTCACAAAATATTAAAATTTAACCAATCTCGTTGGTTGAAATGTTATATCGATCATAATAATAAATTAAGAACCCAAGCAAAGACAAAATTTGGTATAAATTTATACAAATTGTTTAATAATGCCGCTTACGGTAAAACAATGGAAAACATTCGCAAGCATCGTATTGTTAAATTTGTTAAAGCGTGGGATGGTCGCTACGGTGCGAAAAATTTAATTTCTAGTCCTAGATTTCACAGTAGAACCATACTTGATAACAATTTGTTGCTTATAGAATTAAAAAAATCGGAACTTTGCTTTAATAAGCCACTTTATATTGGAATGTCCATATTGGATTTGTCGAAAACGACCATGTACGAGTTTCATTATAATTACATGCTTCCAAATTTGGGTCCCGAAAAATGTAAAATTCAATACATGGATACGGACAGTTTCATTTATAATATCAAATGTTATGACGCATATGAAAGCGTTATTAAGGCCGATTTAACAAAAATTTGACACGTCTGATTATCCTAATGACAATCCCTATAATATACCGCAAATCAACAAAAAGGTTTTGGGGTTGATGAAGGATGAGACTAATGGCACCATCATTAGTCATTATGCGGGGTTAAGGTCGAAAATGTATACTTTCAAAATTTTAACGGGTTCGGTAGTTAAAAAGTCAAAGGGTATTCAGTACAATATTGTAAAAAATAAAATTTCATTTGATGACTACGTAGAATGCTTAACAAATTTTAGGGAAAAGTACGCCACTCAACGAACCATTCGTTCATACACTCACAATGTATTTAGCATCGAACAAACAAAAGTTGCCTTGAGTCCTTTAGACGATAAACGTTATCTTTTGCCGAATTCATATGAAACGCTTCCGTGGGGACATTATAAAGTGCCGTAATTATTTTTTAATATATTTTTGTTACAGATTATGGTCAAACAACTTACATTAGAAAGCCTTTGTATTATAACAATTTGCGAAAATATTAGGTGTAGTGCTGATTTTTTGCTTGAGTCACCTTTGCCTTGGAAACTAACGATACTAATATTTAAATATTATTCGAAATATAGATGGAAGTACCTTAAACAATTAGCGCTCCAGTCTGATGGCAATTCTTTATTAAATTTAGAATTCATTCTGTTGAATAAGAGATTTGGATCGTCTTACAGAAATAGCATTTTGGCAACTCCAACCATTGATTTTGACGGAGAATCCGCTTACTGTTTATGGGTCAGTTATTACAGGATAAAATATTCGGAAATTTTAGTTTGTAAATCTTGTCACTTTATATTTCAACTAGTTAAAAAATTTAAAAAGAAAAATTTTAGACTTTTATTGGATCACTATCATTTACAGCTGGATATAAATAATTTGAATGATGTATATCACGATAAACAATTTTGGTGTCAAAGCTGCTTTGAAGAAGTTTTGTTCACTGTAGAAACTGAAGATGAATGTAATTTAATGCTTCACGATGAGAGGAAATATGGAAAAAAGTTACGCTTTTCTGATAGTCCATTGAACTATTAATACTGTGGTTTTATTATAACATATGTAACTGTAGATAAGACTTTTATGTATTGATTGTATTCCATTGTATTGCAACAAGAATAAACATGTATATATTTAGACGCTATTTTCTTTTTTACCACCACCACAACACCGCATAATAATTACACAGAAGTTTGTAATTGTATAATTTATTTATTATATACATTATTACTATTTTACAATTTCGTTAAATGCTAAATTATTAAATTGTTCTAGTTTTCTTTTGCACTCTTGAGCTTGCATCCGCGCCACTTGCAAGTCTGTATTAAAAAGCGCAATTTGTGTTTCAATTTCGTTGATATTGCACTCTAATCCCGACAACTGAGACGCCAAGTTTCTTTTTAAATTGAATGCCTCACAAATGACACTTTTTTCTCTACCGTCCGTGAACACTTCGAGCCAATCAGCGGATGACGTTGGAGCTGCAAACGCTTCACTTGTGGTAGTTTTCTTCTTCTTCTTGCGGGATACGACCGACGCACTTTGTTTTCGTTTGGTCGCAGATTTTTTGGTTTGTTGCTCTACAGGAACGAAGCTGGACGGGAGCACTTCTGATGAAGGAAATTGCAACTCGAAATTTTCCAATAAATTATACAATTCGTTGGATGTCACAATTTTCTCTTGAGCCATCATATACACGTATTTATGTCAGAACTTCTAAATCGAGACTAAATTTATTTCAAAACGTCTACGTTGTCTACCCACGAATCGTGCGACTTATCCAATCCCAACCAGCGCACGAGAACCATATTGCCTCGTCTGCGCAACACCTTTTCGACGAGATATAAGTCCGGGTTAACTGTCTTCTGCAATTCTTCTTCATAAAATCCGCCCATTATGGGTTTACCCTGCATATCTTGAAGCAAATACGTTACGGGGTTAGTAACCCGTACTTTAACAATTTTAAACAATTCCGTGGTCCAATTCGGTGTATAACCTTTGTTGAAAACGTGCTTGACTTTGCTGATTCTAACGATGTCGCCGACTTTAAGTTTACGAGGACCGAATATTTTTATGCTACTATACGCGGTTTTCAAAATTCTCTTTTCGTTGCTCTTACTCACATCGATGGGTTTCGTACCCGTCGTTCTATGTTTTGTGTTATTGTATTCATCAACGATAGAGGCGAGCACATCGATCCATTTGTACGTCCCGCGTAAAGAAAAATGTCGAAACAATTTCTCTTTGAGGGTACGTATCACCCGTTCGACAATTGAGGCCTTTTTTATGCTATACGTACTAT